TGGAGAGAAGTCTAAGCTGTTCATGCAACTTTCATTATGGACAAATGAGCATAGTGTACTTTAATCTCACGGAAGTATATATTGCCCAGGATTTAATAATTACATCCCTGGCTGTGTATGTCCCTTGCTTCTACAGCTTGCAACATGTCATTTGTTTTCACAGCATGCATTTTGACAAAACTACAGCCTAATCTAACTTTTAAAATGGACAAGGAAATTGCACATCAAATAACTTTTATCCTTCCTGTCCTACAGCACAACTGGATCATTATTCAAGCATGATTTTTGCTTGCAGCACAATAATAGGAGTATGTGACATGGCTAGAGTACCTGGAATATTGATTACATTCACCTCACCTGGTCTGTATCAGAATAACTGGAATAAACCAATTAAGCTGTAATTCTGCTCCAGTTCAGTTACTTGTGAGTAGCCATGGTATATTGAAATTTGTCTGAATTCTACAGACATTCTAACTGCATACAAATAGAATTACAAATTCAGTTAAAATAACCAAATTTATCTTTGCTGAATAGATGAGTTGGTTAAAACATAAAAAAATATATTTGAAAGGTTTGTGATTTTATACTCATTCTGTAATGACATGCACTTGGTTATAAATTGGTTAAACACCTCATCCTTATTCTCCCTAAATAGGGGACAAACCAACTGAAACCAAGCCACTTAATTTCTCCTCTCACTGCAACTTTAAGATACAGACTGAATTTTGGAAGATACTCCAACGGATTTATTTAAACATTGTATCTACATTATTCATATACTATAACAATGCTTCTATGCTTATTCATTTACTATAAAATACTATAACCTATAGTTTTGTTTACTAATGTTACATGTAGTTATTCATATTTTTGCTGATAGAATGTGGTTGGAAAATATTTAAATTGTATACAACAAATGTCTACTTACTCCACCACTCCCCCTGCCTCCTCCATGCTGGCCACGCCTTGCTATAAATTCCTTCAAATAACTGTGTATCTTTATTCCTTTGGCCCAATTCCAATTTGGCCCAATTCCCAAAACTGCGGAAAACTGAACTGAAAATAGCTTAACATGACTTGTGTCTTACCTAACATTGAGCAGGAACATGGGGATACTCATGTGGACACGTGACACTAAGAGACCCAGATCCTGAGGCCTAGCATGTCTAGCTGCCTAGAGTCTGGGAGAGGCAGCTGATCACATGGCACAAGACATGATTCCCACAAGTTTTCATTTGCCACCCCGCAACCCCTCCCCTTGGACCAGTGCCCACTGGGTAATCATACTTCTCTGCAATGGCATAATCCTCCGCTGATTAAACAACCACATGGCACAACCAAGATAGCTGCCGCATTGCACCACTCACAAGTAGTAGATTTTCTGTACCTAGTTCCATGCACTACAAAAATAAATAATTTTTAAAAATTAAAAAATGATAGATATATATATGTAAGACCAGGGCACTTATAGGATGTCTTGGCTATTTGATTTTTAACATCTAAACAGCACTTTAAGGGTTTCAAGAGCCCATTTCCAAGGGAAGTGTCAGGGTGGCGTTCCAGTAACTGGGACCCAGTATGCCTGATATTGATAGTAGGAGTCACTGTGTGGAAATGGATAATCAGGGCCCCCTGGTGTTGAGCACCAGCGTTTGTGCAGCCACATACCAGGGCCCTGATGCAGCTTCTGTGGATTCCAGGTGCTACATAACAAAAAGCAGACCTCCCAGGATCTGAATAGGGTGGCTCTAAGGCAGATATGTATCCAGTACAGAAACAAGGTAAGACTAGAATAGATATCAAACAAGAAAACAAGACAAAACTAGGAGAACCCAGATCCAGAGCAGGACAGAAAGCAGAATCCAGAACGTGTACTCAAGACTTGAGGGAAACATGAGCAGGGCAGGGCAGGACTGTACATGAACTGGAAATACAAGAAAAAATAAAACAAGACAAGAGATACAAGGCAAAACAAGAGGAGACATAACTAAGTACTATATATGGAAAACATTGTAGATTTAGACATACATAAATGGCCAAGATGTATGCAGCCCACCACTGTGTCAAAGTACTCCAATTAAGGTGGGTTCCTATCTGCCTAGATATGCATGACTAAATAAACAATAATAAAACACACACAGCACTTACCTGCAAGAAAGGGGCAGAGGACTTGGAACAACTGCCTGCAGGAACCAACTGAAACAAAAGGATTAATGTAAAAGGAAAGGGTGTGGCAACAAAAACCAAACATTTAAAGGAATCCAGGAGACTGGGAATTCCAGGAACGGAATAAAGGAATGAACCCAGAAAACTCAGCATAAAGAAAACCAGACATGGAATAGAGAACCAGAAAAACCACAAAACACTAAACAAGAATTGTAAAAAGAGTACTGGATACCAGAAGCCAAGGCTAGACATCTCCGCAGAACAGAGCAGGATGTGACAGGATGACGTTGAAGCTGGATCAAAAGCTTGTGTTTGATCAGCTATATGGTAGATATGGTTTCCGGCATTCTACCATTATTATTGGTCATGGTGTACTGAAGAAAAGGGGAAGAACATTGTGCCACTCCTAAAACCACTGATTATGGGATGAGGAAGACATGGAGACCACTTTTCAGGACTTAGTTGCTTAACAATTTGGTCCTTGGGATCTCAAAAATTTTTGTGGAAGGGCCACTCCATTGAGCTAGACGGTTACTTTGGGAGTCCTTGTGACACTTGCCCTTTTTGTAAAATAGGTTTCCCTGAGCCATCACTTTTTTCCTTAGTAAATTTCTGTCTGGGGATAATTTGACTGTTAATAAATCAATCTGGTTAACTTTCACAGACCACAAACAGAGAGAACAAATTATTCATCCTCTCCATCATGACAAAAATGGGTAGTCAGTTGCTCACACACTTTTTGCTTTCATTTTTTTTAAACCCCTTTTTTTATATTTAAATGAATTTTGCTAATGCTGGCACTGTTCCCCTTTTTTTCAAATGCATTTCACTGTAATGGTATCACCCAGCTTGGTGGAGTCTTGCAGACACAGCTGGTAGAAGCTGATAGGACACATTCCCCCCCCCCCCCACTGAAGACACTGATGCTACAAACTGGATGTGTGGGAAACGTTCTCGTCAGGGTGGAAGGATAAGAAGGTGGTCAATTGCCCATTGTCTTTTTTTTTTTATTATTTCATTTTTTGATATATTATCCTTTTATTTAAAATATTATTTAAAATGAATCCTGCTCACCATTTTTCATAGATAGCAAAAGAAAAATTATTACAATAATTACTTTTAATCCAGATATATAATAATCCAATTTTTCCAAATCAGAATTGACATTGCAAAAAATGTAACATTGTCTAGCCAAAAGGATAGACACCAAAGCAATATTCTAACCATTCCTGTATTGCAACACCCTTTTCACAGTTTTTTGTTTTTTTTTGGCTTATCCAATTTTTTTTTGCGAACATGATTCTGACAAGCCAAACTGCCATGTGGACAAAATTCTGTCTTTCTAACACATTTTTTTTTTTTTTTTTCTCTGAAACAAATTTTTTAACAATGCACAATTCTAGTAGAAATAGGTAGAGCTATTTGTGGTGTACCCCTATTAGCATGTATGCTTCCTTCATCACCATGTGCCTGGATTTCCTGTAAATATAGTATTTGGCTTTATTTGTATCAGCTGTTTAACTTCCTGAGTATTATGCATTAATTTAAATAAATTGCTTTCTAATCGTCTGACTTAGATGTTACTTCACAAGACAGCTATTTCACTGAACATCAGGCAAGCTGGTTACAAAGTCAGTGCAACGTAATTTCTAATTTTATTAAAGGACACTGAGGCTCATATTATGCTTATCTCTTTCTTTATTATACCTCAGCAGCAAAGAAAAAGGTATAAGACATTAAAGACAAAAAACTAGAATAGGTACTCAAAGGGTTAACATAATATTCTATCCTTAACCAATAGGATCAGTCCATATATCCATAACCACCCATGTGACCTCTCTTCTCCCTCTTTCTTTGCTGCTGCCTCAGCTAAGTATCACCTAATTTTTAGCTCTCTTTAATTGAGTTAATTCTGTTTAGATAGCTAGATTTAGGATATTGCTTTATGTAATTTTCATTATATGGATTTATTGTTTGTAGACTTTATTGGGATATAAAGTGCAGAGGAGTTTACACTTATATAGGTCTTTGCATGTATGTATAGGAGTAGAAAATTGGTATCTAATTGTGGCTTGTGTTCCTAGGTTCAAAATTTTTTAGCCTTATTACTATCTCCCATCCGGGAGACACACTCCCTCCCTCCCTCACCCCGCCGGGTAGTTTATTACCCGCGCTCCTCAGGTGCCTTAGTTCTTTCCCCGGCTATTCTCCGGCATTTTATAGCCGGAGACCGTGCATTGGCGGCCGCACAGCGTGGCGGCCATTTTAACTGCCGGCTTACTCAGAAGTTTGCCGCGTTTTTTCCCGGCGCCCCCAGCCCCATGAGGGGCGGGAGCGATCGGATCTGTTATTGTTTGTAGCTGTCAGCCTGCCAGTGTTCCCTTGCGGCCATTCCGGAGGGAACACTTGGTAAGCTGACAGCATTGTTTGTGCCTTGCCCTGTCACCCTTTAATTGCCAAACTAATCAGTCCCACTGTGCTAGGCTGCATTATAATAATTAAAGAGGCAGTACTGTGTGTGCTTTAAAGCATGGCTTAATTAAAGAGACAGTCCTGTATGTGATATAAAGCACAGCTTATATAGATACAAATTGTACATTCACAGGGCAATTGCTCCTAGTGCCTTTTAGTGTAGTATCCCCATAATTGAATCAGATTTATGTCTGACATGCAGCACCCCAAAGAACAGAAGCTTGTCAATATTGCTACTGCCAATAAGGACACCACAAAACATGTGTCCCGGGCTCCGCATCCATTCTCCTCCCAAGGAGAAGAGGTGGCGTCTTTGGAGCAACTGAACTCGGAGGAGTTCCATTCCCCTTCTAGACGCGACAATGACAAAATCGGTAACTCAGGCCATCTACACAGCGATGGGGGCGATGTCAGATAACCTGACCCAATCCATCAGCAACGCCATCTTGGCGTCTAGCCACAACCCCAGTGTCCTCCGCCCCAAGGCCCAAGACGACAAGCCTGCACCCCTCAGCGGACGCAAGGCTACAGAAAAGACCCATCATATGGGCAAGCAAACCTCCAAAACGAGTATGATGGACAGGTTGCGTCCTGTCACTAATGAGGACGTGGGGCCCCCACATAAGCGAGCCTCCCGCTGGGCAAAAACGGTGAGGGCATGGAAATGGGCAAAAGCCCGGACAGAAATATCCGACTCTGATTTGGACCAGGTGGAGGTATTGAGCGAGTGAGAAGAGATGGGCTCGTTTGAATCGGAGAATTCTTCTCCGGAGTGCAGTTTAACAGGCAAACCAGCCAACAGGGGCAAAGAACCACGGATGATTATGTCATCCTAGACCCTCAGGGGGAGCCCCTATTTAATCCAGATGACCTACAACACCCTAGGTCTACAGAATGGTTTCCAGCTGACCACGTGGCCCAATTTATAGCGGCCAGAATTAGGAAACCCCTGGACAAAGCCACCAGGAATAAGCTGAGGGCGGAATGCCCACGTCCGACAGTCCCAGATATGGCTTGTGCCACACCGGAACTGGACCCTTAAAATTGCCCAATTTTTGGGAAAATCTGGCTGGAAGGCCAAGAAAGGGCTGGATTACTCCCTGCGCCACTGCCAGGATAAGGTGCTTGACTCCTTGGGCCCCAGCGCAAAAATTTTCGACATGGTCGAAGCTGCACTTTCAGGTGGCACACCAGTAGATCTCTTAGCTATCCGAGAATGGGCGCAGCGCTCTATTTGTCTTATTGGCAATTCCAATGCTGCGCTCTGTACAGAGAGGCACAAAGTGATCCTCATGAAGATTGACCCGAAACTGGTCAATATGGCCATATCTGAGCCTGGACCGCAGGCAAAAGCTGGAGACCGCCGGAGACCTTTTCAGAGACAATTTTGTAAAAGAGTTAGGTAATTATGTGAGCACATTTACAGCCCTGGACAAGGTGCAAACAAACTTGAAGCGTGTGTTCTCCCCGAAGGTTTTTGGGGGGCTGGCAGACAAATGTCCAGCCATTCATCACGGGGCTCCTACCGGGGCTATCGAGGCCCCACTACATCCAGATTCCCACAGACGAGACCAGAAACCCCTCACCCTTCTTCCCAGTCAGGGGCAGAGCATGGCAGCCCAGAGGACGCAGGGGCACCACATACGGCCGACAGCCTTTCCTGTTTCCCCTTCTTATACATCATATGTGGGGGGCAGACTATCCCATTTTATCGGGGCATGGCACAGACTCACGTCCGATGCCTGGATTCTCAACACAGTTGTAGGGTACCACATAGAATTTGTTCAAACCCCAGTCCAAACATCAGTCCCACGGCCTATGGTGTTTACCCCACAGGACAGGGAGCTTGTGTCGAGGGAAATCAGTGCATTAAGGGAGAAAGGCGCGATTTATCAAGTCGCATCCAACTCCCCAGGTTTCCTGACCAACCTGTTCCTGATTCCCAAAAAGGGCAGGGGTGTAAGACCGGTGATCAACCTTCGCCCACTCAATGCATATGTTCAATATCGCCACTTCAAAATGGAGGGGATTCATTGCCTGCGAGACCTCCTCAGGTTAGGGGACTGGATGGGCAAACTGGACTTGCATCTCGCCATCCCCATCGCGGAGGATTGTCACCACATCCTGCAGTTTCAATGGAACGCACAGATGTGGAGGTTCCAGTGCCATCCATTCGGCCTGTCATCGGCTCCATGGTGCTTTACGAAGCTGTTGAAACCGGTGGTGGCGCTGTTACGCAGCAGAGGAGTGCGCATGATCATAAATTTGGACAACATATTGATCATGGCACAGGATGCACTCATACTTCAACAACACCTATCCTGGGCAATAACGCTTTTACATAACCTAGGATTTCTAATCAACTGGAAGAAGTCGGTGCTGACCCCTTCACAGAAGAATTCCTAGGAATCAATATAGAGGCGGTCCAGGGGACCCTGAAATTACCGCTTGCGAAGATCAAAACCATCAAAAAGGAGATCCGCAGAACGTTAACTCGCCCAACGCTCACGGTGAGACAATTAGCCAGGATAATTGGACTCCTCTTGGCATCCATACAGGCGATCTTCACGGGACCTCTGCATTACAGGGCCCTACAGAGACTGAAAGCCGCTCAACTACAATCAGGTCAATCTTACTCAGACTCTGTGCGACTAGATCACACAGCCAAAGAGGAACTCAACTGGTGGCTGCGACACATGGAAGCGTGGAATGGCAGAGCGATCTTCGGCACCACCCCAGATTGCATAATAGAATCCGATGCCAGCACACAGGGCTGGGGAGCGCGTTGTGGTCATATTTCCACAGGCGGAAGATGGTCCCAATCAGAAAGAGCACTGCATATCAACAGCCTGGAACTCATGGCGGGATCCTTCGCACTGAAGAGCCTCTTAGGTGCAAAGACGCACTGCTCCATCATCCTGAGGATGGACAACATATCAGCAGTGCAATACATCAACTGCCTCGGCGGCACCAGGTCCAAAATTTTTGCGGATTTGGCCACGGAATTCTGGCAATTTTGCCTGGACCGCAACATTTCAGTACGAGCCGAATATATCCCGGGTCTCTCGAACATTGTAGCAGATTGGAATTCCAGACACCTGCGAGACGCCAGCGATTGGCGCCTGAATTGCGGAGTATTCCTGCAATTACAAACGCTGTGGGGCCCGATGTACATGGATCTGTTTGCGTCTCATTTGAATGCGCAACTCCCGGAATTCTTCAGCTGGAGACCAGATCCAGAAGCAATAGCTACGGATGCATTCCTCCAGTCATGGCCGAGCAGAAGACTGTACGCTTCCCCTCCGTTCGCTTTGCTGGCACGGACGTTGGTACATCTCAACCGCTCAATGACAACACTGGTCCTAATAACGCCATTCTGGACAACGCAGCCATGGTTCCCTTCACTCATGGAGATGTCTATAGACCTTCCCAGACTACTTCCCGAGGACCCACACCTTTTGTCGGATCCCGAAGGGAACTCACACCCATTAATGATGCAGGGACAACTCAGGTTGTTGGCGTGGCTCCTTTCAGGGGACCCTGGGTCATCTCAGAGGTTCCACAGACAACGCTGGACTACTGGCGGGAGCCTGGGCTCCAGGAACACGGAGATCCTACAGTCGGGCATGGAACTCCTGGAGTCGTTGGTGCATGGAACAACAAGTGGATCCCGTATGTGCCCCTGTGAACTACCTACTACGTTTCTTGACACACCTATACGATCAAGGTCTAGCATACCGGACTATTAATGTATATAGGTCAGCAATATCGGCTGGACATAGGGGCTTAGAAGGAACACCAATTGGGAAACATTTACTGGTGTGCAGACTCTTACGTGGGGTTAGAATTGCAAGACCCCCACAACCCAGATATGCATTAATGTGGGACGTACATTTAGTCTTAAATTTATTGGAACAGTGGCCACAGAAAACTAGCCTTACACTTAAAAAACTATCAGCGAAACTTGATATGCTCTTCTGCTTGATACCATGCAAAAGAGTCTCAGACGTGCGAGCATTGGATATGGATGCACGCTCGTTCACTCCATCGGGAGTGACTTTTAACATTGCCAGACGCACAAAAACAGCAATTTCTACAGTATCTTATCCAGCATTCCCTCATAATACTAACCTATGTCCAATAGCTTGTCTCAAAGAATACGAGAAACGGACACAGGCATTTCGAGACCCTAATCGTCATGAACTATTCCTGGCCATTAACACACCACACCAACCAGTATCGTCGGTTACTATAGCCCGATGGGTGAAATGGGTAATGACCTCCGCAAATATTGATACCTCCATTTATGGAGCAAACTCCACTAGGGGAGCTATGGCGACTAAAATCATTTAATTTGGGATGCAGACTGGAAGACCTTCTGCGAACAGCGGACTGATCCCATGAATCCACTTTTAAAGAATACTATTTTCGCCCTGCAGATCACATAACATCGTCAGTCATTGCTCAGCTTTGAACTAGCATAATATGATCCTCCGTGTCCTTTAATAAAATTACCAGATTTTACTAATTACATGACGTAAAGTCATGATTTTATAAAGGACACAGAGGCGAATATTAGCCCACCCGGTAAGTATCGCGAAGTTGTTACCAGATAATGGACAAGAGTTGAATTCCTACCCGGTAAGTTGTATTGGTAGGATAAATGTTGTGGGCTTGGTATAGAGTTTAGTGGAATAAGTATGATAGGGACATATGACATACAGTAACACCTACAGCATGTAAGATAGTCTGTAGAGGATCACATGTATAATAAGAATTAGCCACCATATATGTGATACACAGTCTCTAGACCACACGTTACCATTTCTTTTCTCTCCCGTTTCAGCTTGATGAACAACAGTCGACACAGTAGATGATCGGTTATCATCACAGTACACGTGGTTAAGTTACAGTGTTAAGTTATAAAGAAGAGGTCGACACACCGGATATGTTGTTCCAGTTGTCTACTCAAGTTTATGAATTTAAGCTTCGGCAGGATCAAAGAAAGAGGGAGAAGAGAGGTCACATGGGTGGTTATGGATATATGGACTGATCCTATTGGTTAAGGATAGAATATTATGTTAATCCTTTGAGTACCTATACTAGTTTTTTGTCTTTAATGTCTTATACCTTTTTCTTTGCTGCAGAGGTATAATAAAGAAAGAGATAAGCATAATATTCGCCTCCGTGTTATAAAATCATGACTTTACGTCATGTAATTAGTAAAATCTGGTAATTATTACATCAATTCCCAAGCCTACTGAAATATAATATATATAACATAAAACATATGTCTGGAAAAATGCCAGCTTTGACCTACCTGTTTGTAAATGCTTAAAAAGAATTGTATATAAATATGAATAAGTTTTCATTTCTATTTCATTTTCTTAAACCAAATATCTATAGTGACTAACATTCAGACAACATTAGATCCACCTCTATGTCAAATCTGTTGTCCTCGATTGTTAATTAACACATATTTTTGACCATCTTATTAACTTTTCAAGTACGTTTGAAGTACAGTTAACATTAACCTTTTTCTATAAACTTCACTATAAAGTTCAAATACATCATTAATTACTTTATATTTCATATTATCTGGTAACTTGGGCATCTATGTGCCTGACAATGTAGAAGCTCTCAGCATATTTCACCAGTTAATTAAAGATAGTAGTTTTGTCAAAGTACATGAACACACAATCAACTTTCTTACAACTGTTAAAACATTTAG